GATCCTGCCTGTCAGAGAAGCTACGGAACACTGAGTGGATGGCTGGAACATGCTTAGTGGCAGAAACGGATTCCCAAGACAGTTGGACAGAAATGACACTTCAAAACTGTGGCGGCATGCTTATGTTAAAGCAAATAAACAGCTCTGCCTCCCTGCAGGGTAGCGATGATTTTACCTTTTTATTTGGCACTGGTGTAGGTGCTGGAATATTACTTCTCCTTTCGGTTCAACAATGCAGAAAAGTTACTGAAAAACTGGAAATCACCAGAGAACAGCTAGGAGGATGATGAAAGGACTGGAAAAGTAGCAGCTTGTAAAGCTCAAGCTTGAAGATGAATGTAAGAGGAGTCTTGATCATGATGTATTAATACCTACAGTGGACCAGAAATCTTGTAACAAAGGGATTTTCAATTTATCTGTCAATGATGTAAGAGGATCCAATGGATGGAAAACTGAAGCTAAGAAATTAGTACCACAAATAAGTCACATTTGAATAAGAAAGATGACTATGGGAACCATTTACCAATTATTTGATGGATGCTTCATCATTGTTTATTTTTAATCAAAACTAAATGCTTTTCTGAAGACAATGTTCTAGTTCTCTTACCCTAAATAGCTGATGGTGGCCTTAACCGATAAAATGTTCGTATTTGTATTTATTTGTTAAACAGGAACGTTATCCTGCTATCATTTAACTTGGTTTTGCTACTAAGTTAGAAAACAAAGCAGGCCCATAGTCCCTGTCGATAAGAGACTGGGTTTTTACTTTTTCTGCTTAAAGCATAGTTTACAAGTACAATTCATGCTCAGTGAACAAGGTATTTCCCTATGTTGTGAGCTGACAAAATGAAGCAGCGTGGACTGCAAGATACTAGGATAAGCATCAGCCTTCTTGACATAAAGTCAAACTGAATCTATGCTGAATCATTTGTTTGGAAATTAGATCCAATTATCTTAAATCGGTCATTCCAGACTTAACAGAGCACTAAAAGGCACTGTATTTGTTGATGTATTTGACCCTGACGTTCCAGTCATGTCAAAACATGTATGCACTATACTTCCAGCTTAATTCATATGGCACGGTGCCCTCCCAAATGCTGTGCTCAGAACAGATGATAAGAGGGCTGTCAGTATTCCAAACGTAAGAAGTCTTTCTGATCTAAAGCAGAAAATTACTTCTGGATTTTGAGTTGACAGAATATTAAAAATTGTTTTGACCTGCAGAGTATGACTGTCACCAAAATCAGTACAGTCAGGTCTTCTTCTTAACTGAGGGGTTTTTAATGTTCAAATGTTGCCCAAAGAATGAAAGGAAAAAGAGCATTAAGAGAAGGATGAAATTCTTCTACAGTTCTAATCCTCAAGTAAGCATAGAGCCAAAATAAACGAGTGATGTGTAGCTCCTATTTTCTCAGATTGTGTATTACCCTCCAAATCAGTAACGTAGGGCCCATTCTGACATAGTCAAATTGAAATGCAGCAAAATGTGTTGCTGGAGAGGAACTGCCCCTGCATAAAGCTGCTTAGGTCTAGAGTTTTTCAGGATTGGTGGCCCCCAGTACTTTAGCACTGATGATATTATACATGAAATAAAAATAAAAGATGAAAGTCCATACCTGATTCCTTGTTTGACTTCTCTACACAACTTCAAGACCTACTTAGGAATTTCAAAGGAGAAATGCAGATCTACACTGAACATCTGGCCACATCTTTCTTTAAAACCACATCTTCTTATGTATATTATTAATACTACCTTACCACCACACAGATTATTAATATGACAGATTATTAATATGACATTTTCAAAGGGCAGCTTCCATTCCACCATTGGGGGGGGGGGGGGGCTTACATTTAATTAGCTTTGGTTATTTGTTTTGCAAGCATTTCACTGGACTAATTACGCTCTTGTATTTTTAAGAAAACATTTACATTGGAATTTTTCACTGTAGAGCTCTTTCTAATGTAAAATCTACTTTTGAGACCCAAATCTGGGGGTATGTTTGTCTCCTTGTGAAGAGAGAGGTAACGCAGATAAATGAAAAAACAGCAGGAGGAAGAAAAATTGAACAAAACAGAGTGAAAAAAACCTCTCGGCCTAGAACTATGTTACTGGGTCTTAAATGTAGTAGCATAATCTGGAGTTGTAAATCATAAATTGTGAGCAATAATCTTGCCTGTACTGAGGGTGCAGTGAAGCAAATGAGAAAATTCATTAAGCCAGAATATGGAAATTTACTAAAGCACCTGAGGTGTGCAGAGAGCATAGTCATCGCATTTTAGTGCACCACTCCTTCAGACTTTTTCATCCCAAAGAGTATTGCAACTCCTCTTAGAAAGCTTCCATGTGGCAACACGGAGGCAGGGTAGAAAGCAGCAATGTTCAGCGTTTATCTGCAACGCTGGATATACTGAAACAGCCATTTCTCTGGATCACGCCATTACATATTTTGTTTCCAGATTACATCACAGAGCACAACTGCCAAGTATCTTTTCGGATATCTTCAGGAGTAGCCAGGTACATTGCAAAGCAGTATGATAAAGATAGGAAACATGACCATCGAACAGCTCTGTCCCATCACTCAAAGGCACCGCCGGGGCAGGCAGAGGCATGCTCCCCCCGAAAGAAGCAAATGGAGCGCTGCAGGGGTGACAACCCGCGTCACAGCTCGGGCCCCCATCCTCACGGGTGCTCTCCTCGGCATGACTTCACTGGAAGCTGCTATTCACCAGCGCCTCCAAGAGTTATTGCACTTCACCCCAGGCTCCCTGAGGTCCATCAGGGCAGTGCTACGGCTACGAAATGCCAAAAACATAATGCAGCGGGTGGGGGGGAAACCAGCAACCCTGAGCACCGCCCGTCCGGTGACCTCACGTCTGCGAGGCTTCACCCCCTCCTCGCCTCTGGTGTGGTGGTTTGTGGCAGTCTTTACTGCCCCCCCACCGGCACCACGCTTGCTTCTGCACGCTTTCCTTCGTGTTTTAGCATTAACAAAGACAAAACGACAACAACAAAAAAAAAGCCGCGAAAACACGAAGGCTTGTGCATCTTCGCGAGTGAGGCGACGCTGCCCACAAAGCACCGGGCGATCCTCGGTCAGGCGCAGGACCGGGCCGCTGCTCGCCCGGGCGCTGCGGCGGGACAGAGGGCTCCACCGCTAACAGG